AGAGGAGTTGATTTAAATATAGAATTTCAACTAAATGTTTCTAGAAGATAAGTTAACACACAAGTGGTGGTTACTAGAATATTTATGCATAATATCACTAATTGGTCTTATTTAGTCAATCGTTAAAAAAAGCTGGAGAGCTGTTTTGTTCAAATATAGGGACTCTTAAGTATTACACATTCATCACCCCGCCTATGCGGAGATTCTAGGATAGCTAATCATTAGACATGCTGACTAACACAGTCAATAATGAGAAGAAATCCAATCCGTTATTCTGATTGCTTACTATCAAACAATTTATATCATACAGGAAATTAGATTATCGCATGAGGGAAATTTTTTGACGGAAATATCAAACTTAGTTGTTTCATGTTCACACACATTTCCAGTCATAAACTAAATCACAACAACCGTTCAAATTAGTATCTAATAAATAGAGAGATCAATGATTTACACAGTACTAAAAAAGTTAGGAAATTAACAGATAGCATAAACTAATCATGATATGAGATTGGGGTAGGAGCAGATTAGGGAACAAATAACACACAATCTTTCGGAAGAAACATCTTATCTACAACACAGAATACATGAGGTTTTATTACAGCCTCGTAAGAAAATTCTAGACATCTATTTGATGGCTTGTTCAACACTAATAACAACACCGAAACAAACACCATCATTCTTTCTGTGAGCTAACCAGTTGTGAATGATTGTAAGCCATGATAATAGAACAAAATAATTCAGGAGAAAACAGACACCGTTCAATAAATATATTTGCAATATTTTATGGCTGTGAATAGTGATCTATGAAAGTAATAGACATGTAGGCTAAAACTATTTGATCATAGATGTCTTTGATGCATTGGATGCATACGATGCAACGATAAGGTTAGACGTAGGGTAGTGGATGAATAAAACCAAGTTGATGTATGAGAGAAAATAAACTGAAAAATCGTTGAAGTCATAGTACATAAATAGAGTGGAGACATTGTAGTATCACAAGATGTTAAATTTAACAGATTGGATACTGAAGCCGGAATTTACGAATTCAATAGTTCGAAGATAGTTTTATCATTTACATATTGACATTAACTCAGGAAGACAGGTAGCACTAGAGATGTTTTGTCAGTTTGAAACTCGTCGCCAGTGTGCCTCGTGTGTGGGACAGAGTTCAGGAGCTGTTTCAGTCTTCAGATCAGTATTATAAACATATTCAAACTAACTAGTTGGAATCTAACGGTTCATATTCTCAACTTCAGTCAACTCACTATAGTGTGCAAACATCACATTCAATGTCGTCAACGATATCTATGACATTATCAACAAGGGTGAATTTCACAAGTTGCGAATTACCTACTAGAACTTTGGGAATATTTAATGTAGTCAATAATATTGAGAGCTCCCTGGTTTTTCAACTGAATAACACATGTAGTATTTTACATGAACAAAAACATCAAAACTAACAGTCATGTGAAAGGATACAGTCATTACAAAGTGAGTTAGCTGATGCTAAATGGCGTCGAGAGCTTGTAAACCAAGTTCGTTAAACAAAAAGTACTTTGAATGAACGTCAAAAAAGTGAACAATAACTCAATAAACAACTTCGAACGTTTTTAAAGGAAAAACAAGGACTATTTGACAGGGTATCGTGTTTACAGAGCAGTTTAACAGATGAAAATATACGTCATCATTTGATGAGGTCAAGTACTCATCTAGAAAAAGATAGGCATAATCTTAAACGACACTTAAAAAAGAAGAATAACGAAAACAAAGTAATTGTGAATAAGAATAATCTTAATCGTACAGAGCTAGAAATAATAATACGACGTCTGGAGGAAGAGAATTCAAATAGAAGAAAGCAGATACAGTTCATATAATCCAAATTAGTTGATATGGAACAAGCTCATGCTAAACACTTTAATAAACTAGCAAGTCGACATCGAGCAGAAAGTGAATTGGAATTAGAAAGACTGCGCTGTGGCAAAGCTTAAGCTGAACGTGGACTTGAAGCACGAGAACGCGCCCATGAACAGCTCAAAAATATCTACAACCCCAAACTCAGAATTATTATATGCTAACTAGTGACTGGATTCGAGAGGTCATTCTCCGAGTTCTAGTGAGACACCGTGACCAATGGAACTAGTCCGTGTTGGGTAGAGACAGGTATCTACCTCACACAATGGAAGATTGCCGCGCAATATCGTAGATTGGTTGAAGTTAGACATTAACATCATTGGATTCCTGCTCAGTGGTCTAGTGGTTAAGTGCTCACGCGCAAGACCGAAGGTCATGGGTTCGGACCCAGTGAGTGGGATTGCGTATGCGCACTGCTGTAAGTCCCATACTAGGACGAAACAGCTGTCCAGTGCTCCAAGGTTTTCAGTGGGGGTCTAACATTGACCGGTTCATGATTACAACTAAAAACTCAACAATCTCCACAACACCATACTGATAAAATGAAACAATTGTTCAATAGTGTTGTCTCAATTTTCAGTTGTTTATCAGTTAATTTTAACACAAGAATTATGAACTATCTCATAAAATTGAAAATATTTTTCGCAGTTTAAGAATAGATTTTATCATCAATTAATGTCAAATGAATAACTAGAAGAGAATATTTTGTTTAGTCTACTGCGAATCAATTAAGTAAAGCATATATCATTAAGATAAGAAGCCGAAGGCAAGGGGGTGTTGAGACGGCAACTCAATAATGAATAGTGGTTGAACAGTGCCAAACTTACAAATCTCTAAAGAAAAATAATTATGTGAATTTCGAATTTAAATAATCCAGAAAATGTAATACTAAAAGAGATGGGAAGATTATCAACTCCTACTTATTTAATCGACAGATGATAAACACATCGTCAGTAAAGATTCAACTGTAAAATGTGCTAACATCAATCGTTACTTAAGAAGTTAAAGTATGCAATGAAAAAGACTTACAAACTAAGAAAATATAAATGCATTTGTTACTGAAAACATTTCTTCCGTTTACTAATTACTTCAATTAATGAAAAGAAGTTTTCTTAAAATGAAGTGTTTTCATGTGAAGAAAACACTAAGAAATATTTACAAGAATCTTTCTTCTTATAGTGAAAATAGATTTGAAGTGAATAAAAGAATAGAACTTTTTCTTCATTCCCGTCCGAATACAGATAAAATCAGAAACAAAGACGAAACCAAACAAAACATGAGTACATAGGTTTCAATAGTTAGTAAATAAGAGAAAACAAAATACGCACGTATATCGATCCAGGTGCTTAACGTATAAACAACATATCAAGAACAAAAGATAGAAGAAAAGCAGTCAAGATAATATTAACCACAGTGGAAAGCTTATACATAAAGAATATCATTCAAAAAGGAACGAATGAGATGGAATAATGCAAAGCATGAAATGACTATAAGCTTAGAAGGTAAGAGAATGTAAAGAATAAATGTAACTGCGCCTAATACGAATGTTTTTAAGTGATGTCATCTAATATCACCAATTATAGAATACGATTATTTCGCTCATTACAACCAGAATGTACCTGTCGATATGGCTCAGGACAACAGTCAATTACATTATGAAGTGATGCAATATCTCCATTTAATCGATTTTTACTTTCTTCGAATCCAGCTAGTTAGTTAGATATGGTTAACACTGACATGACATAATCAGAATTGGATCGATTGTTATTTTAAACGACTAAGCTCCTAGTTTATTTGTAAGGACGAGATACTTTTGGATAATAAAACGAACTGCAAAATTGTGAAACATAAATTAATTATTACTAAAATAGCCGTATCATACTGTCAAGTTATTCATTAATTACACTGAAAGGTATTCAATAATATGCATAGTTCTTATTCAAGCTCTGGATACATTAATTATTCAGACATTTCTGACTGGTAGACGTGATGATGAAGGTTGAGATAAACACCATATTCACTTTGACTTCATTACTTTACATAGATTAGTGCAATCAGATGTTACACGAAATTCAGTCAGTCAGTCAGCTATAACGTAGTACCAAGCACACATATGCATCGGTCCAAGTTGCCATACCGCATTAGCACAGCAAGATGAACACCGGATTCATAGAAGTAGTTAATTCAATGATGGTAATATATGAAAGAAAAATTGGATATAAGGATATTGTACAGGAAGAATTAGTCTGTAGAAAAAAAAGATATGAAGCTATTTGAATCTCATAGTTTAAGGAAAGACATGAAATTATTCAACCACTAATCGAATATCTTTACTCTTCTTCTTAATATGTACATCCAAGTAAATTTTACAAGAATATACGTAAATAAATTATCAATACCGACGATATATAGAAGTTTATATTTGTGAATACATGATAGACGATGATAGTTTGGAAAAACGATTTTTCTAGTTAAATCAACACTTAAATCTTGTAAACAAGAAAGAGAAAATAAAGCACCAGGTGAAATTTACTAGTTGTTATTTTATTTCGTGCGCTGTTGAAGAAAGTCTATGCTCAAATCAACTATTGTCTATAAAACCAAAGTAGAATTAAGGGATTTTATAAATTAAATTCAGTTTATTTTTACTCATACTGTCTTGATTGACTCAACTACATAACTTAATGTGTCGGACTATTTTTTTAAATTACCACAGTACATTGTCAAATAACATAACAACAAAAAAGACCAAGTGCATGAGTGTGTATGCAGAGCTGAAAAGTTCTATTTGAAGAAAACTTAACTGCCCAGTGTATATGTTGATTTTCAACAGTTATTTAGATAGTAACATTTTATGTTTAAAAAAGCTATTTGTACACCGCCACAAACTGACAGTCATAATAGCAAGAATCATTATTATTATTTAAAAATACCACAAGCATTCTTCGGCGATCACATGAGACTTAATTATTTCATATGGAATGTGAGAGTAGGAAATATCGACAGTTCATTGTCTTTACAAAAGACAACATATAAGTACATCATATATATATATATATATATATAATTTAGGAGAAAAAACTAACACTTAAATCTCGATAGATTTTTTGGTATTTATTTGGTAAGCGATCCCAAGTTTGTTTTAATCGTTCGACAGGTGTTTGATGTAATCCAACCAGTAGACAGAACATTGTGTTAAAATTACGCAGTTCACGGCATAATTTGGCAAGCTAATAGATAGAGTGGAGAAGAGAAAGGAAAAAAAGATGCAATCTACGTAGTAGTTATTATTTTAGATTATTAATATCACCTCTTACTTACATGAGCAGAAAAAAGCATAGTAACTCAATTCTACCATATACAGATTTATGCTTACAGCGCTTTGAGCCATACTGTTTTAATGAAATTCGACAATCTCCACAACCCCAAATTTAAAAATATTATGTGCTAACTAGTGACTAGCTTCGAGAGGTCATTCTCGGAGTTCTAGTGAGACACCGTGACCAGTGGAACTAGTCCGTGTTGGGTAGAGACAGGTATCTACCTCACACAATGGAAGATTGCCGCGCAATATCGTAGATTGGTTGAAGTTAGACATTAACATCATTGGGTTCCTGCTCAGTAGTTTGGAGTTTGAGCGTTCGCATACGAGACGGAAGGTCCTGAGTTAGAATCACTCACGCAAGATTGTGGGTGTGCACTGTTGTGTCATTAACATATACTGACTGACCAAATATAAGGAATCAATAAAGAACATCAGAAGATGTGTGCATTAATTCGGGTATTCAATATTATTGGAATTGAACATTAGTGAACATTAGTTTTATTTGCAAGTACGCAAATAATAATGAGTTTAACATCGAAATACCGGAATTTCATTTGAAGGAACTACTACTACGTTGCACTTGCAATGTACAATTTATGTTGAACGACGTAATTCACAGACAGAAGAATGACATAGTAATGGGATCGCCTCTAGCTCCATTATTAGCAGGTTGCTTCATGGCCAGTTTAGAAAACAACCAACTTAAAACGATTATAGGAAACTTCCACTTGTATAAAAGGTACGTAAATGATATCTTTATAATTTGTGACAACAAATATGACTTGATTCATCTTCTAAAGACACTTAATAATTGTCACCCAGCAATAAAATTCACAATTGGAGTTGAAAGCAAACAAAATATTCAATTTCTTGATGTAGGAATGACAAGAAAACAAGATGGTACTCTAAGAAGACCTATCTACAGGAAACCTATGTGGAATGAACAACTATCAAGTTTCCACAGCTGAGTTTCCATCAGTCGAAAAAGAAATTTATTAATATATGTGGTTACAAGAATACGAAGAATTTTTAGTTCCAAGGTCATAGGTGCAAAATTATTTATTTATTTCAACAAATAGATATTGGTACAAGAAGGCACCAACTACATATGCGCCACACAAATCTCATTTGATATGTGTGAGGGCCGTGATACTGCCCGGGTGCCCAAACCGAAGTAGGTGGTTTTCTTAGGGGGCCACACCCCGAGCCTTCGACCTGAAGGTCTGATCCACAAGGCAGTGGAGCATCGTAAGGAGATGCCGTCCCATGGAAGCCGGTGACCAACAATTGGTTCATACGCCATTTGTTCCCGCAGGATACTGGAGCCCATGTGCACCATTGGTTTGAAATCCGGTTAAAGCGCCGGACATTCGCTTTTCGTCCTCTCATTTTCGTAAACAACACCCCCGCCACGAGAAGGCAGTGAGTAGGACTTCCCTGGCAAAATTGGGCCCCTTGAAGGAGATACTTAACAAAAACGGATATCCTTCGATATTCATTGATAGGAACATAAAACCGAAGCCGCTGAAAACAAATAATTTCAGTAGAAAACATTATGCATGAACATCGACTTTAAGGGTGACAGAGTCACATACATCTTAAAGAGAATTTCTGATTCTTTAAAAAGAACATTCTTTGCAGCAACGTTGCGAATATTATTCTCCAGCCGATGGTTGTTCACTAATAATCTTAAAGATAAATGATCTCATCTGACCAATTCAATGTGAATTTACCGAACGATTATTAAGTTTTCCCTGTTTAAAATCTTTTGTATATTTTTGTTTATCTTACCTCCCTGTCACCATGTCTAACAGAAGTTTATTATCAGAATGATTATAATTATTATCATCCTGAAAAATAAGTATATATATTTGCGATTTTACAGCTTTGAAAATGAATTCGCTAAAAAGAGAACTCTTCGCTGAACTAATCTTTTTTATTTAATGTCTTAATGGATGTATTCCATTTACCAAATATATATATATATATATATATATATATATATATATATATATATATATATATATATATATATATATATATAAATATATATCAAATCACATTCCATATAATATTTTTTACACCTCATCGTAATGAAATTAAAATATGTAAAGGGTATAAGGGTTTTGAGTTTTTGATGATGAGTGGCTCTACATCCTCAGAAGAGAGAAAAAGCGTGGTAACAAGAATATTCGGAGGTGTGCGAAGCATCGTACGGAGGACTGTAGATCTAGCTGTCATACGAAATATGAAGTTATTACAAGACAGTCAATCAAACATAATTATAGTAAAATTTGATTTAATACTCAAAACAAGGTGGTTGAGAGAAAAACACATGATAAAATGATTGAATTAAACTTTTAGGTGTTTTGTCCTGATGTTTATTTGTTAATCTAACAATGTATTGTCAGAACTCAAAACAAGCGACACCATTTTTTCTTCACACTATGCCTTATTTAAATGAAGACGAATGATTGGCGAATGATTCTAACCGATTTTTCAAATTAAAATAGATGGGACCTATTTAATAAAAAGACTAATTTTTAGTAACAAAGAAAACACTGTAGATATAATGTTAACGTGGTCAATAAAACTACTGAAAAATGCATTCATTGCATACACAGTTAACAGTAACTCGCTCCATTATTAAAAATATCACGGAAATGATTGAGATTGCAACCTCGATTTTTTCAAGTGAAAAAGACACAGTAACTTGATAGTAACGAAATAAACTGACATTAATTATTTGATGTCCACATAAAATATATTTTTCACATCTTATAGTCTATATAAAGAATGGAAATTTAAAACTCATAAATCGTTTGAAAGTCAAGTAGTCAACTCGAAATACTCCATCTTCAAAATTTTCGATTAAAAGTAAAATATAGTCATAAGCAAAAATAAAATACCTTGATAAAACGTTTCAACAAATCAACACGTCGATTCAAGTTAGTTTCATTGCAAATTTCAGTGGGAGCCCAATACGCTTCACGGTTGACAAGATCGGTGAATCGATCCAAATTTTCATGACCTGTTGCATATCCAGTATTACTACTGTTACTATTACTGCCGATAACACATGAAGAGATATTATTAACATATGCATTACTGAGTCCAAATATCTCATCAATATATTCAGTGGATTGAACAGATCGAAATATTTCATAATCATCAATAGTTAACCGAGCAGCTAATTCATTTGGTGGGAGCTAAAAACAATTATTCAAAAAAAAGATCACAAGTGATCAGATCATCAGATATTAGGAGTGACAAAAAACTGAGTATTATCAGAATGATGGGTTTTGTGGAGGTAGTATTTATCACAGATTTAACACAATTGGAGTAGCCATTGAGAATTAGGCTGAATTGAACAGGTATTTCAAACTAGCGCGGAACAACTCAGCGGAGCACACCCTTGCCAAGCAAGGATTTAACAAATTTATACATACGTCTACTATGCTGAAAAAGGTTGCATCTAGTCAGTTTTTAGAGAAGATTTAGAAGTAATTTTTTTACATTCACATTTTTCCGTGATCGAAAAAAAATCAAAAATGCGTATATTTTGGAATTTATTTAATGACTTTTGTATATTTAAAGGTTGTATAATTATGCGATTAAATGTCTAACGTTCAAGTAATTAGCAGTTGGCTTTAAGAATAACACTTCAAAGTCATTAACATTTAATGTTCAAGGCGCGAAGTCAGGATGCTTTGAATATCACGTGTCATACACTTGAAATATTATATCAGTTGAGTGACACCAATCTGCTTATTTCGTTAAAGTAAGGTGAATTTGGCACGTTTGAAGTCGAACTTAATTGAACATCTGGTCTCTATGTTTTCGGTAAATCATAAGGTTTATTCATAAACTGGCTGATCCAGTAACGTAAGTCACTTGATCATAAAATTACCCGATAAATTCGGTTTTGTCTTATATTTTCGCAGTCTAAATTTATCTGGCTTAATCAATTACTTTACCCTGATATATTCGAGAAATTTATTAAGCACTCGCCTCACACTTATTGTATCTTAATTAGTCAGAATAATTGCATGCATTACGTATACCCTAGTCAAACATTTAATCTTTTTAATTATATAATTGTTTCTCTTATTCTAAATTGTCTGACATTTATTTCCATGATTATTGTTCTTCCAATTTTATTTGACGTTAAATCTAGTTAAATTGAATAATGAACGTTGACCATTTCAACATTTTCCTAGTTTACATCATAGGACGATATTAGCTAGACAACCACTTAAAACCGGAAAGTATGAAACAGTCGTTTCGCCATGATATGGGACTCCTGAGCAGTGGATATCCGCGAAAACCACAGGTGACCAAACTATCAGATTACTGAGTCGGGATCCAATGGTGATATATTTCTGACCTCAGTCAATTCGTGATAATAAACGCCCATCTTTCATTGTTCCAGATGGATATTTGTCTCTCAGATCCGACGTTGCTGAACTGCATTAATAACAACTCATCAGAAACCGTAGAATTAATTCTAGACGTTAGTCACTAGTGAAGATATGATCATCATTTAAAGATTTTCAAATAGTTCAAAATTAGAAAATTCTACTATTAAAGTTGCATTCTCTATAAGATTGGGTACACTACCGATTATTAATTTTAACTTATAATCGACAATCCTTAAATAAAATTTATTGAAAAGAATATTATTTGTTTCAAGAAAATGGAAATTTTTTTAACAATCTCGTATTAGTTTGTGGCGAGAGTTTCCTAAACTATGAAGTCTACAAAAAAGAAGTTTCAATGAATATAAATGTAATGAATAGGCTATGCGATTAAACTGAAGGTATATACGTAGAGCAAAGCTTCAAGTGACTGTGAATTGCACTTATCGTCTGATGGTAATACGAAATACAAAGGATATTCTCCGCAATGAAAATGTTTCCATAGTGCATGATATCCACGTTTTCCTACGACAAATCCGAAAAATCACTTTGTTGCATTATTTAAAAGCTTATATCATTAATAAGAGTGGAAAAAGATTACCTGTGTAAACGTAACACGACTTTCAGCTAGAATTGATTTTGCAACATCATCCGCAATAAGGGGATCATGATTATGCAAACTTTTTAAGTAATATCTTGAATTCAAAGTTAAACGTCCAGATAAATCATCCAGTAGATTAGACAAGCGACTTTGTTTCACAATTGGCCCAGATTCAACAGTCACCTTAACAAGATAAGAAAACAACCATGTTGGAGTGTGTGTGTGTATGCAGGGGAGTGAATTTGCAAAGATTATTTATTTCGAAACTAGTGCCTGCTATAAATTAAAATCATTTGATGAGTCATTTATATACTATTACGTATTGAATAGCTGTTTCATTTTAAATTGCAGCTCGTCGTCAATAGAGCACAAAAGGATTGAAATTGGATGTGCACAATCGAGATTTAAACTAGGATGAAATAGCACCATAATGTCAAGCTGTCAAAAATTTATTAATTACACTTAAAAACTATCAGTTCAACCAGAGCACTTATTTTTAACGAGTTCACTTTCAAATTTGTGAAATTGTATATTATGATCACTATTATGAAACAGAATAATCTGTATGGTTGTTAAGATGTAATCAATTATGAAGAAGATGGAAGATAGTTAATCGAATGAAATACTTGATAATCAAGGTGAATAGGATAATTATGAGAGAAAATTAATCTAACGTATTAAAATGAATAACATAAAAAATAAATGATAATCAAGTGTAATTGAGGCAGTAAAAATCACAATAAGAATAATATTTAGTAGTACAGTGAGTTAAAACATTTGTATCAACACCGTGTGACAGCGAAATACGATTAAATTAAAGGCATGATAAACAAAATCAAATTTAAAAAGAAAGACCTCATTTCTATACAAAACTTTAGTTTCAATATTAAACATAACGAACGCTTCTTCTCCAAAGAATATGAAATATGTTTGAGAGTAAAGGTCTATGAATGTTTGATTAGAGCGTATAAATGATATTAAAAGCAGAACATAAAGTTGAGTCTACCATACATTGCAAAATAAAAAATAAAAAACTGGTCAACATTGTCAATAGATATGCTACGCTGGAAGTTGTTGTGAAACGCTAAGAATGAGACAGACTTTGATTAACAAACTTTGTGCTTCATACCATAAAAACAGGTAAGTTGGCATATGAACACTGTCTGATGATCATAATTTATCTTATCTATTTCAAAAATTATCTACAATACAACCAACTACCAAAGAAAATACATACAAATGAAATGTAACAATGAATGATCCTCTACAACATAAAAGATTTCACGATTCTGATTTCTTTTTGAAAAGTACAATTGTAATCGCGAAAATGTTTTGACATTTTATACTCATGTGAAATTGCAACGAATTCATACACTTTATTCATCCAAAATTTGTTATTATCAGCTTACAATGGGTGGAATAAGTGTTAGTGTGAATAATAAAGGTGGTAGAAATAACACCTATGTAACTATTGCTTTTTGTGCTGAATGGATTGTGAAGAAAAGTTCAATATGAAGGGATACTTTTCTAAATACGGGTTGATATAAGCTATAAAACCATTCAGAAACCAACAAGGACTGGGCAGCTGTTTCGTCCTGATTTAGAATTCATTGGCAATCCCATTGGCCATTCGAACAAGAATCAAACCATGGGATCCCGGGTTTTGCGGTGGGAGCACTTTCTTAATATTGTTGTATTAAAATACCTATGGTTGTCCCCACTTGTGTTCTCGTCCACTACAATATCAGTGACCCGGAACCTGTTGATTTATATCTCCAACTACAGTCAATACGTGGTATAGTGCCAACGTCATCCAAAATGGTCAGTGATAATTATGTGGTTAGCGATGAATAACCTGTAGATAGATTGTGAAAGCAGTTCTTTACTGAAAATGTCCATGTTAGTAACTGTTTCTCACCCGCCTGATTCAAAATTACTGCTAATAAAATCATGTTATAGCTTTGTCGTCCTGAAATTCCAACTGTCTGTGTAGGACTAAGCTGGAAGAAAGCTAGAGGCGGCCAGACCAAAACATGACACCAGTCCATGAAGTTATCGACGATTAGACTGAACCATGTCAATCGAGTGTAGACCACTTGGTTGGTGTCTGCATGATTAACGTAACCAATGGTTAGAGACTTTCAGTGACATGGTTCAAAATCATTTGCAATGGCGCTGGTGTATCTATTCTTTGTCTTCCTCTAAATTATGGGCTTCTAAATTCCTCATAACTTTTCTCGTGTTTCCATTTCAATAATTTATATTTACTTGAATCACATCTCCGATGCTTAACGTTTTCAATCACCACTGATAATGTTACCACTTCTGTTATTCTGGGATTTGGTCTGACAATTTAATCTCACCATTCTAATGGAGTATGGTAACTTGAGCCATTGTAATGACGCACCATGAACTAAGCGACCTCTGATTGACTGACTAATGGAAATTAGATGAAAGGCGTTTTGTAACGCGCAATAGACTCTAAGAGTTCCTTAGTTTCCTAATTGGTTTTTCCATAAATATTAATAGTAAATGTATGTTTTTAGGGAAAAACTACATTTGTATTTAGTCTCTTCAAAGAATTTCAAGTCGAGAAACAATAAATGAATTCTGCATTCTTCAAATGTTTGAAATCATTGGAAGTTCGTGCCTGACCGTTGCTGCTACCTTGACGTGGTAGTCGGGTTTCCTATCGTGATCTTAGTAAGGCTATTCACTTGACCTCAGCTCGCCAGAACCGAGAGTGGACGAGATACATCCTTCATGTATCTGCCGACATGATGTCTAGTCCTCGTGAACTGAAAGGTGTAGGTATAGCACTAGGTACGAAGGCAGAACAAGCACTATTAGAGTGGATCCCCGTTAACAGTCGTCTATGTACTGTTCGGCTAAACGGCTCCGTAAGAACTCAGAAGGATAGAGACACACTTCGTTGCTTTTTCGTCGTTCCTGCCTACGCTCCCACTGACTACAGGTCGAATAAAGTGAAAGATGAATTTTACAGAAAGCTTTCTGAACTTCTTCAGAAAGCTAAACGTTCAGACATAGTACTCGTAGCAGGTGACTTTAATACCGAAGTAGGTAGCTTAAACCAAGCAGAAAGACATTTTGGTGGATATTTTAGTATTCCGGCTCAGCGAACAGAAGAAAATGGTGATTGTCTGCTGCAACTGTGCTCAGATGATCGTTTATTTTTGGCAAATACTAGTTTTAAGCATAAGGAGAGACATCGTCTAACATGGCGACCACATGCACCAAACCAACGATGGACTCAAATAGACCACATTGCCATCAGTCATAGTTGGGGAGGGTCGGTAGAAGATTGTCACTTGTTCTGGAATGCCTGTTTAGACTGCGATCATGCTCTAATACGAGCATGCATTTGCTTGCGCCTCACTGGACGCAGGAAAGCCTCACTAAGAAAACCGTTTGGAATTGACTTGAGTGATGAGAAAGCCGAAAGTAGATTCTAGGAAACATTGAGGTCACACTTCGGTAGTTCTGAAAACGATACTGACCCAGATGTTAATTGGAAAGATATGCAAACAACTGTGGGAACAGCAGTGATATCTGTTAATGATTTAAACTAATGGATTTCTTCTAGGTCTGTTGCACTGATGGATTCTCGTAAACCCATCCCATTAGGCTCTGAACATGATGAAGAGCGAAGGCAAATCAGATCTAGGTTAACCAAAAGTCCAACGAACGACCGTAAGCAGTGGTGGGCAACGAAAGCAAAAGTGATGTAAAAGGCGGTGGCGGATGTAGTTAACACAAGACAGCTCTTCAGATTCATAAAAGAAACAGGAACTAAAAAGTCAAGTGTAAGTGAGAGAAATAAACGACACTCTTATCTGCTCCCAATCCAGACGTTTAGAACGATGGGTGGAACATTTTAAGGAGTAAATCTGCTGGCCTTCGGCTACCCTACAAATACCCACAATTCCCAGACAGCGTGAATGAAACATTGAAGTAGGTCTCCCAACTCTAGTTGAAGTTCGAAATTCTGTAGCTAATCTGAAAAGAGGAAGAGCAGCTGGTTCAGATGGATTGACTCGAGAGGTCATTAAATATGGTGGTCTATTTTTAGCGATTAAGTTGATTTTACAGCTGAGAAACGTGGCGATTAAAAGTAGAAAATATTTGTAAGTTACTAGTATTTGATCACAGATGCCTTAGAAATATTGCCCAGATCTGTTGGGATCATCGGGTAAGTAATAGTAAGGTTAGACACAGGGTATTAGAGAATGATGGTCAAAAAATTGATGAAGTTACAAATCTTCACCGACTGAGATGGTTGAGCCACGTGTTGCGTACGCCTGAACACCGATTACCACGACGCGCAATGCTAACCGATGTTCGGGATGGTTGGAAGAAAGTTATGGGCGGCCAAACCAAAACGTGGCATCAGTCAGTGCTTGATTTCACTAACTTCTAGTTTTATCCATGTCGGTAGATGCAGGTTATTTGGTTGAGGTCCGCGTAACTATCGTAACCAAATGGTTAGAGACTCTTGGTGACATGGCTCAGAATCAATCACAATGGCGTAGGTGTATACACTCTGGCCTCCCTTATATCGTGAGATTAAAATTGCATTATACCTTTCATTCCACTAATTAGTTCTTTCTTCCTGTACTATATCCTTATATGTAATCTTTCTCATATATATTACCACTACTGAGATAACGGCTTATGTGAAACCGGTGTTTGCCTTGTTGTGCTAATGAAATGTGGCAACTTGGACTGATGCATTTATGTGCTTGGTCCAACATTGTGGCTGACTGCCGACTGACTGTTTATTTGGACAACAGCAAGTTGCAGATACCTGTTTAGAATTGATTACGACAAGTTGGATGAAAGGGGAGAGACAAGTGTGTGACGAATAGGTAAATAACTAATTCAATGATAAATTAATGTATGCATCACAACAAAAACAATATATTTTTACCTAATTTGTACATACTTCGTAACATTTATAAATTCATTCAGTATTAATTGTAGCAGCAACTGTCGGAAATATTAATTGTGAACATTTGTTTATTAATCTGCATAATTTAACGAATTTTCAATGAATTATTAAATCTCTTAGTCGAATGTTCATTTATAATTAGTTGGTAAGTGTAAGTTATCTACTGGAAAGAAATTTTAAATTTCAGTATGATTTCTTATTAAGTTTATGATGATCTAAGCATTTTGCATATCAATGTATATATTTTACTGAAATAATAAATATTTGTTTCGCAGAGCGATTTTTGTCTTCGGATTTTTAATCGTTTGAAAGCTATAAATTTTTTATTCATTTTGCGTGAGTGGTTTTTTCTAACCTCAATAACATAGTAAACGTCTACGCAATAACAAATGTGATGAAGATTTATGATTAATAATAATAATAATAATAATAATAATAATAATAATAATAATAATAATAATAATCACTATGAAAGAAAAATAAACATTAAACATACATGATATAAGCAATAAGAATGTTGGTCCTCTACCGGTATACTGAATTCCTCCATGCATAAACGTGTCGCTTCGTATGCATTAGTGTGTCTACTTGGTAATATAATCAGCTTACTAGAATGATCTTTTCCATTATCACTTGATCGCCATACACGTATCACTGACAAATGGTCCGTGTGAGTAATATTATTACTACCAGAATTTAAGCCTGAATATTTGACACTATCAGTTAAATTATGCTGATTTTGGTGAAGAACGGTAATATAGTCACTGACTGTAGCAGCAACATTACTACCAGATATTAATGATTTGTCCAGCATTATTAAATCCGGCTGTGATGACGATCTTTGCAGTGGTGGTGTTCGTAGGAAGTAATTATGATCGGCTGTTTTTGCACTACTGCTGAATGTGTTATTGGATGGATGTTGTTCGTACGGTCGACATAAATCATTACTATTGTTATTTTGATTATCGGTGGTGGTAGGATTTTTAAGTGAATGTAACCAACGTGACTGGGAAATGGATGACTAGATGGTTGAAACATTAAAAAATAAGACAACAACAACTAAGAACAAACCGTTTATCACGGTATTGCTAGATTACGATAATGTAATACAAAGTTATCCATATGAAGTGAATTAAAATAATATACACACACATATTTAAAAACATACATCAAGTGTTTTGAAGCAAAAAATGCCACTCAAACACATGTTCATACTTTCAACTTAAAGCCATATTTCATTTTCATAAAGTTCAATACATGTTATTAAACCTCTGTTTAAGCCAAAGTAACTGGAGTAGGGTTTAAACCTGTGACCTAATGGTTAAGGGTTGAGTTCTCTGAGCATTTCACAACGGTGGATAAAGTGCAGACAAACATACTGATTGTGTAAATACATATTCACTTACAAAAACACATTATGAACCACCATCATTTTCAAACTTGACATTCGTAATTAACTAACGTCTCTATATGAATCATTCATGTTCTGTTCAAACCTCTTCTAGCCCTTTTTAGCATGTGTAAACTCCATCATGTTTTGATGTTTCGAAACGTTCAATGAATAAATCTAGATTTATGAGGAAAATTTAATTATCTTTAAAAAAGTGTGTTCACTGAGAGTAATGATTTAGCTTTGAAAGTTTTAGATAGGGATTGCTCTATTTGCTTCTTGGTCATTAGTACAGGAAAATCTTAAACGTTAAGAAAAGTAGTTATAAATTCAATACACAGTGAGTAATAAATTTCCAAAACTGAAGATTATTTACAACAATAATTTACCTGTTTACTACTGTCAGTTATTGATGTCTTATAAAACACTTCACTATCTTCATGAGGATGTGATAATCGAGTCGGTGATGTATCTGCACTGTGAGAAGAACGACCCGATGTAACATGTGAAGGTTGAAAGTTTCGACCACGTCTTCCAATTGAATTGTTACCCGGATAAGTAGAGAGAGTACTGACCGTAGAAAAGGAGCATGGTGTTGGCATTTTCGGTAGTGTTACAGTTGAAGAAGACTGTTGTTGTTGAGGATAATTTGATTTCTTAAGAAGATCATCAGGTATGCTTATACTAGTTGGTCTATACATGAATACAAAAAAAATATCTTGGTTGTCATCGTTATGGCGCGAAAATGTACGACAAATCATTAGGCTACATAATCTTAAAGAATGACATTTTATAATTCAAAGATAATAGTTTATAACGTGTATATATATATACTAAATTATAGTTAATACAATACATAAAGGATATAATTACCCTTCAGTCTAAGCGGTTGGCAAAATAGAGAAACCAATGATGAAAGTTAACTGTGAAGAGAATCCCATTACTATTATTACTCCTAATACTGATACTTATCACATCATTCAAATTAGTCGGTGTTTTTGGAACTTTAACTCATCTCACTATTACTCAAACTTCAAATTGATGAACACCACCTCTTGTTTCTTACATACAAAACGATGGACCTTAATAATTAAAACCAATCAATTTAAACACTTAGATCTTTCTCTACTTATTTCGGGTTTTGCAATTAAATAGTATCATGCACACGAATAAGCACGTAATGTATGACTTGAAGCTGGATATACAAGATTGTAAATGGTAGGGGTTTAGTGATTGAAGCACTCACGCTTCAACTAAAAGTATGTAGGTTCGTAACCCAACCTCGATTATTACAATTGAAAGGTCGAGTAGTAAGTATCACTAGCTCTGACACAAATAATGTGTCTGAAATTCAAATGAATAAATTGATTTTTGGTGGACAAGTAATACTCTGACTGTTATTCATTCATTCTTAATAGTTTTATAATGACATTACAAAAACAAATGTATTAATTGCTTTTCTTTGAAGTATATACACATCGCATTTAATATAGTGAAAGATTATATGCTGTTGAAATATCCTCGGTTAACTAATTCACTGGACTACATTTTTATCATGTGTATAAACATTATTGCTAACTAGTAACTTTTGTTGACATTATTGTTTTATTGTTATTTCCTTCTTTAAACTCGTACATCCTATTATTCACATGAATCACGGAAATTCAGTAAGCTTTGTGTTTCTTGGTTTAATGGTTGATTTTCCATGAGACCAGTACGATTACTTGGTAGGTTTATTAATACGCATAAGTTCCTGAAGACCAACACATACTAAGCTTTTAGGCTAAAAACGTTGACCATCCACTAATTATCAAACATAATCAACGCAATCCAGTATTCGATGTTTGTCTGGAAAAGTAGAATGAATGCACATAAATCAATAAATATTTTATGTGAACATAAAACTATTTTGTTTGAATAGATACTTGACATATAGTAAGTATGTAGTGTAAATGAATGTACGTGAGTGATCGAATCAAACTTCATTTAACTAGGTCATTGTAATGATAGACGATATTGGCATAACGCAGATTAATAATTCCATAGTATGTCAGATATGGCTGGTGGTTTTAAATCGTTACCGTGTGTAGAGTTTTGTTGACTACGGAAGTAGATGAAAAAAGGGTAGAAGTGATCGGTTTAGGATATGAAGAGTTATGTAATGAAAGATAAGACTTCTATACCTTTTGATTCATCACGCCTAAGTAGTTAATGATTGAGAGATTATGCAATCTAATAACTGGAACTGTTATCGAATATCCACCCAAATAGTAACCACTATCAATCTTGTACTAGCTTTCTAAGATGCCTTTTACAAAAGTTATAATGAACATTTTCAATTGAATGAAATTCATATCGGTTTCCTTTCCTAATTGAATTATATCTTACAATAAATATTATTTTGGTTTACTTATTAATCGATTATATGACAATATTCTTGTTTTTTCATATTATCCTTTCATGTTTCGATGGCCTATTGTAACGAAATATCTAGGCGTTTCAGATAAAAGTTATACACATTGATTTCGCCTTCACTAGTACAAGCATTAGTCTAGTAGTTTCATTATTTGGAGAACTACGAAAGCCATCATCCAGAAGGCACAAGTGTTTATTATTAATAGCTGTCTACGCAAAATACTTCGGATCCGTTGGCCGGACACTATCAGCAACAACGTACTGTGGGAGAGAACAAACCAGATCCCAGCGGAGGAAGAAGCGCTGGAAGTGGATAGGACACACATTGAGGATAGCACCCAACTGCATCATAAGACAAGCCCTCACACGGAATCCTCAAGGTCAAAGGACAAGAGGTAGACTAAAGAACACAGTATGCCGGGAAATGGAGACAGACATTAGAAAAATGAACAAAAGTTGGGTAGAATTGGGAAGGAAGGCCCAGGACAGAGTGAGTTGGAGAATGCTGGTCGGTGGCCTATGCTACATTGGGAGTAACAGGCGTAAGTACGTCATGAGCAGTAACCAACTTACAAAACTATGTTAACATGCATTTGAAGCATTAATCTCACTTAAATGACAACTATTGTGAAAAAATGTGATGTATAAAATAGTAAATGCATACAAAAATGATGGTAGTTAAATTTGAAAAAAATAGATGCAAAAAACATCGGAAGGTAATAAAACAGATCTCAGAATACGTTGAAGTCCACAGTATTCTTCGAATACTGTATAGATGCATGCAATATTTCGTTTAAATATTTATCTGAGTATATACGTACGTGGATGGTTCCAATGACTGGAGATTTTTTAGATGACGAATATATTCCGGTTCATTTGTAGAAGTATACGGTAATAGCGGACAGATTGTTACAGGAGGCCTTATTACATTCATTGGAATTGATGAACACCAAATCGTTAGAGAGATAAAACCCAGTGAAAAACAAGTAGATGATATCCAAAAATTTTGAAAAGTATAATAAAACAGATAATCCCATACATTTTTAACTAGGAATGTTGACGATGTTTGGGACCTGATGGTATCCCAAACATCCTTTTTAAAATGTGTATTGATGTCTTATGTTATCCGTTTACAACTATCTTTAACAGATCCTTCTCATCTAATCTCATACCGAAAATGTGGAGAAAGATGAAGATAATTCCTGTACCCAAGAAAGCATCTGGTGATAAGAATGTAAAATTTAGACCTATTGCAATAACTGCACCCTTCCTCAAAACAATGGAAAAATTATTAATACTTCCACTTCAGCCTGAGATAAAAGAGCATATTGATCCATATAAGTTTGCTTACAGACGCAAAAGAAGCAATTTAGATGCTGTTGCTGTTTCGCATCACAACATAGATAGTTTTCAACTTAGAAAAGGGTAAGAAGTATGTTCGATGAGCTTTTCTGGACTATACTTCAGCTTTTGATTCTATACCAAGACAACGTTTACTTAACAAGTTAATCAGCGTCAACACTGACAGCTGGATAACCAACTGGCTATGTTCCTACCTCTCTGGAAGGGAACAGTACACTGTGTTTGGATGAAAGTTTTCAGAGTCTCTACTGTCTCATGAAGGTGTACCACAAGGAGCTGTTCTTTCACCTCTTCTTTTTTTTTCTCCATGATCTGCCATTTTCCACAGAAAACACTTTTGTGAAATATGCGGATGATCTCACTGTATGTATGCCTATCTCTTCCTCTTTACATCCCATAGAAATGAATGAGTTTTTGTCTTGTATTGATTGTTGGTCTGTTGGTAATGGTCTCATACCTAATCCGTCTAAATGTCAAGCTGTTAACTTTAGCATGAGACATGAACGGAATCTAAACACCATCTTCAGATCCCATAATGCTTGTATCATCGGAGACTATTTGATAAACATATTGTCGAAAGTCAATTATCTTAATGTCACCTTTTCCTTTGATCTGTCTTGGTCTTCACACGTTTTATTGTTATCGAAGAAGGTTTTCCGTCTGACCTACTACATATAGAGATTGCGTGCTCTTGGGATTACTCGTCATTTACTCTTACAATTTGTCAATTCTTGCATATTATCTATTATACTTTACTGTTCTCCATTATTCTTTCCAGGGCTTTTGAGGACAGACTTTGCTGTATTGCGGGGAGGCAGTTAGCAAGATGTGCGGTGAATCTTTCGAGGTCATATTTAATATGGTTGTGGATAGACATTTAAAATCATGCAAACTCCTGGCAGGTGTTATTTTATCAGATACTAGCAATCCCCTTCACTCTTATCTTTCTCCTTGTATATCTTCTGGTAGAAAGAGACGTAATTACGCTAAAATCCATGCACGCAAGCAAAAGTATCAAAGTTCTATAATACCTTACCTAGTAAATATACTCTGTGACGAACAGGTTGTTAGAGTTAACCTAGTCAATAAACTGCATTCTTAACACGTCTTTAATTTTAAGTCGTACAGTTTTTCGTTTCTTTTTAAAACCTTTTTTATTTTTGTTGTTGTTGCGTAAGTAACTTGTTGAAATACCCTGTGCTAAGAATTCTATATTGTACCAAAATATAATATTGAATAAAGCCATTAATAATAATGATAATTCAGGTAGGACCCGTTAACTCGACTGACTTAATAACCATTAAAGGAGATAAAAAAATTAGAAGATGAAGATTATCAGAACTATGTGATATATGAGCGCAATACAATTCGAACAATCTGATCACACATATACTTGTTAAGAGCATTTGTATATAAAAATAAAAGGTCAAGTAGGCTGGAAACGGGGTAAGATGAGATTATTAATAATAATAATGATAATGATAATGATAATAATAATATGAACACAATTCAAAACTTAATCACTCTGGATAATAAGACGATATTACCAGGGTAGGTTTAAGGTAAGAACAAACTGTTTTTGAACACACAAAGGAGATTTGAATTTTCGTATGGTTAAGGCTTCAATAAACCATAGTATAAGCCTTTTGACATGTTTATACAAAACCACAAAAGCCGAGTTTAGATCAATCGTATGACAGTTAACGTCACCATTAGACCGATGGTGTTTATGTGTGTATGTACGTATTCTCATTTATCTGTTTCGATATTTCCATTAAATTGAAAGCTATGTCATTAAGTTGAAATCCCTCATTTTTTTATTTATGACACTTAGAAGTTTTGTCATAATAAATCACCAAAAATAATGTTCACACAAACCCCAGTGACTATTATTTTCACTTTCAATCAATTTATGAAATTTCTCGACCATCATACCATGTCATCACGGATGTAACTATTTTACTCTCTATAAATAATTGATTTCATAGTTCACGGTTACTTTCCACCATTAGAGCATTCAGTAATCCATTTCAAAATTAGTAAATACATGACTCTTGTGAAATCAGGCAAATAATATGATTTATTCGACCTTATCTTTACATTACATTAGTCGATTAAGGTCAAAATCATTGAAACGTCGTATTCGATAATTAACATTAAACATTCTTCGCTATTCAAATAAAGTTGTATCTATATGTTTTTTCCGTGTATTTCAATGCCTATTTACTGCGGTAAACTTACAGGATTGCAATTGTATTTCACAAAATGTATACTGTGAAAAAGTGGTACATGTAATATTAACAACTTCCAACTTCTATTAAATTTATCAAATCGTGTAACATCATTGAAAGGATTAATTTAATAATAAGCACCAAACTAAACGTTTAAAACAAACACAAGAACGAGACATATTCACACTCAATCCACAGAAGATCAGATGATTCAACTCTTACTGTCTCAAATCATCTGTTTTCCAGGTGTAGAACATAAGTCAAAAGTTTCATAAGAAATGGAAAAATTAAATATTGCATCAGCCATTCACAATGATAAAAAACACATACTAACTATAAGTACAACGAAGAGATGACAACATAAAACAGAGGATACGTTTCATAAATCACAAGATCTATGCACACATGAACAAAGGAAGTAATAGAGGGACACGTCGCCAAACCATACTGAGCATATAATACCCTTCTTATCGACGTCCGTGTATTATAACTTATTTACTCATGCCTGTTACCGTTGTGAGCTTATAGGCCTCCGACTAAGAACCTCGGAGCAACTCTTTTTCAGATTCATCTTTCAGGTTGTTCCTAAGCGCTATTCACTCTATTGATATCTACCTACAAATTCCGGCATCATATGTCCTCCGGTATGCTTCCTTTCCTTTTCCTTCGAGGATTCCATATTGAGCCTTGTCCTTTGATGCAGTTTGATGGTTTCCTCAATGTGTATCCTACCCACCTCCAACATTGTTTCCTGATTTTCCTCTCAGTAGACATCTGAATTGTTCTCTATCACAGTTGATTATTGCTAACGGTTTCTGTCCAATGGATCTGTAGTATTTTACATAGACACCTGCACCTTTTTGGCAATGGTGGTAATAGTTCTCCACACTCCAACTTCGTACAGTAGAACTGTTTATGACTTTGGTGTTGTGTGACAGATATTCAATCATAGGAAGGTTCACCTGTTTTGGTAATTCATACCCTCATGTCTGTATCAGATACTCCATATTCATCGAATATGCTGTTCAGGCACGTAAAGGCTTCCGCTTCTTCCAGAGCTTTACCACCAAATGTGATTTGATTGGTGCTCGCTGTGTTGTATTTCAGGATCTTGCTTTTCCTTTGTGAATGTTGAAGCCTACTGTTTTGGAAGTTACTGTCATACTGAATATCTTCACCTGCATTTGTTGATGTCGATGGGATAGGAGGGTCAAGTCATCTTCAAAGTCCAAGTTGTTCACTGTATTCTGTGCTTCTGAGTTGTAGAGGTCTCAATAATTGAGTCTACAACCAGCAGAAAAAGAAAAGGAAAAATAGGCAACCGTGTTTGATACCTGTAGATTTTAAGTCAATAAGTGAGTCTTCTGATAGAGATTCAAAATACATCAACTTCAGGTCTCGTAACAAGTGTTGATTTCAAAACTTTAGGTTGAAACTTAATGGTTCAGCCACATTTTTAACTTCAGTCACTTGATGATAAAGTCGAAATTGCAAATCAGACATGTAGAACTTCTTGGTTTCCAATAATTTTTCATCTCATAGTTAGTTTGTAATAAAAGTTATCCTTAAATTTGAATATGTAAGATGAACTTGAAGAACTACAAATCTAATATGAAGTTTGCTTTATTGTCTACAAAATAAAACAAATTTTGCTTGTGGTTAAAAGTAGCAATGGAATTATTTGGGAAAGAAACCACTGTCACATAGTACAGTTAGTATATACAATAGACCCAACCCAACAATTCAGAGGGAATTACTAGTAACAAGAAGCAAAAAGTAAATGGAGAAAATACCATATACAATAAATAAATTCACAACTTACAAACTATGCATTTTTAGTCGACAAATTTCATTATTACCATTGTGATTATTCAATGTGATGTTTGATGATGGTGTAGATTTGTTCACGTGGTTTTTCACATCGTCAACAATTTGATAAGCATTTATTGTTTCACTGATTGGCCTCATCGAAGTTTGAGCAGTATGCGTCGTATTTAAAGAGTTAATAGCTTGATAATACTCTGTTGGAAAAAAAGTAGACGTAATAGGAAAAACATATAATTAAGTTCGACATCAAATGTGTTTCTTACAAGTTATGGCCAGTTATTGATACATATGTGAAATGTTAATTTCGAATAAGTCAACAGATCGAACTAATAATTGTGATTTACCCATACACACACAAACACATACATAAAGAGTGACAGTAGATCATTAAATCATACTTAATAATAACATTTTGATTATTAGGCATTTTGCTGAAGAGGCTTGTTTCACTATATTTTGAATTCGGTGGCCTCCTGTAGCTGGAATGTCAAGTGATGACTTTTCCAACGGAACTCGGATGAAATACCTAGCGATTAAAAACGTGGAGTAACATATGATCGGATACAACGTATAGAAAATCAAAATCCACTGATAAGAACAACGTTTCACGACAAAACTCAGTATGATTACTACGACTACGACGAAGCCGACAACAAAAAATCCTGTTACTAGCTTAACAAAATTTTGTGACGTGTGAAAAAATTAATATGGAATCTTAAATTTATCCAGCTATTCATAAAATGAATGGGAACATTTCACAGATTAATTTTTTATTTGATATGAATTGTTGGTCAAATATATTAAATTCCATAATTTAAATAAACGTATAAAAAAATAACCATAATATTGGGAAACATGAGAATATAACTATACATTTATTAAAATACACATGTGTTTGCTACTGTGAACATTTTAAAAATATCAGGAAAAATACTCAGTTAATTTTTTTTTACTTAACAGTACTTTAACGCAGATATATTTGGGAACAGTTTGAAAATCAAAGCCATATTAAATGTTTATAAACTTATTCTTTCGCCATGTTATCAAATGAAGACTTTACAAACCAGCAAATTTGTAGTTTGTATCTGAAAGTCTGAATTTCTAATTACGTTTGCTAGAAGCCGAAAAATCTGACGATAATGAGCTACCAAACATTATTTCAAGCACAAATGATCATTAACCTGGTTATTGAAAGCCGTCAGGCAGGTCGACAATTTTATGAATTTCGATGATTAATTCACACACACTTTTAAATATTAGCATACTAGCATGAAGTGAGTATTTGGAACAGAACTTTGCATTTCATCTGAGAAAGAAAATATTCTCAAATTAGTGACACTCTAAAAAGTTATAAATACGTTAGCTGTTAAGAACTATAATTTGAGCAAACATGAAGCAGTATGGTTTAAAAGGCATAAGGCGATATACAACCACAGCAACAAGTATCACATCTTTGTCTGTCTGTCTCGCAATGGATATCTAACTTATTCTCATGTTAAATGTCAACGCGCGTCTCCGTAAGTAGGTGTTTAAAATTTTGTAGCATGGAAGATAATATCAGTTCATTATCCATCAAGTGATTAGCGACGACTGTGGCTTAATGGTCAGAACTTCCGACTTTGAACCGTTGAGACGTAGGTTCGAAGCCAGCCATATCTTCTTCGATTAGGAAGATTTAATATTGTCACAAGTCTATACACTAGAAAAAGGAATCCGAAAGTCGATGAAATGAAAAAAAATGTATTGCCATACATCTACAACAATTCAACAGAAAGGCAGAGATTTACTTGGTTTCTAGTTTACGCATTTATTGAAAAGTAATGCATGGAAAATTAAACTGTAACAGGTGATTTTACTTACGAACTGGATTAAAAATAACTAACAAACGGAGGTTGAAAGTAACACTGAAGACTGACGATAATGTAGATGATTTGGAATGATCTAGCATAGTATCATTGTCTATACCGGTTGAACAATGTGTAGTCGAAGGAGACAATGATCCATTGGTACCAGATACAAGTTTGGTATTTGATCTGGTTTTAATATCCACTGGACAACATGGGTTTATCATTGAATTAATTAATTGTATGACATCGGATGGTTTTAAATGTTCTACTGAACGACCATTCACTGATAATAATTGGTCAGCCCGACGTATTTGATTATGTACAAATGAAAAATTAGGAAGTACACATGTTGATGATGGTGGATAGCTTGAATCGCATGGTGATGATAACGATAATGAAGATGAATCAGTGAGATATTTTTGGTTTGTGTGCTTATCACAGCTTGCTTCAGAATTATTGTTTGAGACTAAACTATATACCTGGGGTGCGCAATCAGAAAATAAACGGTAAAAATATTTAACGATAAAAACTTACAGAAGTGTTGATTATATACTGCTTAAAATAAACGGTGGGTAACACATATTGAGAAATAGTTTGAGGAGGTACTGATGTATTTACTTAGAAGACGCTGTCATTTAACAATAGACATGAAAAATACTATTTTCCCTATCTGTACATTGGATGAAAGATGTACACAATAAGATTATACCCTAACAAATAAATATAGACCAAATAACTTTCAGTAAGCAAGAAAATCTCGCCATCAAGCACAATCACGATGAGCACAACAGAAAAAAACTTTTCAAAATGCAATTTGTATTTAGTCTGAAATCCAATGTTCATTAATGGACTGAGAGAACAGTGAAGGTGAAAATCTGAACATCAATGTACAACTTTGGACTATTTAGTTGCTACCGTATTAAATAAACTGTTGATAAAGCTTATGCTATTGCGCTTTATCCTAGTCACCAGAAATTTTTCAGTCTTAAATACCGAAAAGAACAAAACGAAAGGCGAAGAGTATAGGAGAAGGATTACTTCGAAGGTTAAGTCTCCGGCGGTAAGGCCCTTTGAAGGACGGAGCTAACACATTAAAAACCTCCCATGAAAAGGTCGTGCACGACCGACCTCAAGCAGCTGTCCCTTGGGCTCTGCGGTCATGCTTCCAGGTCGTTTAAGGCCAACATTAATCCAATTTCCTTTTCAGGTTCCTCAAGAAATACCCTTCCACGGTGTGGGCAGCCGGGAAGTGATATCAACTCTCATACCCGCGTAACAGCACACGAGACCAAGTTAGTCACATTCAAATCCTTCCTACACCTTCTAATACCTTTCTTATCTCCATGACTGACTGAAGTTTCCCACAGGATCATGGGCGAACTTGAGATTCTAAAAACCTAAGGAAAAGAATATAAAGATTAGCAGAAATCTTGGGAGTTTTGCAATAAGGTTGGAAAAGTATGGTCGAACGTATAATATATTCTTACAGTTTAACAAAGAGCGCTGATTGTCGAAGTATTTTCCGTATTTCGCCCAGATGATAGAGAATTCCTAAAGGAATTATAAGGGACTCAAAGAAATTTCGAAGATGAATGTTACACCCGTTTTATTATCGTGTTACTAAATTAAGTTAACCAGAAATGTGATCAAGTAACTTTCGGATGTCAAATTGAATTTCATTTCTTTTTCATACCTTCGATTCGTCGATTTTGTCCTACACTCTATAACATGTATTTGTTATCTTGAGAATTGAAACAATTCTGATCTATATAGATAAGTACCCAGTCCAACATTTTGCTATGATCGACTAAGTTTGTAGGACGTTTAAACGTTTTACTCCTATCTATCTATCTATCTATCTATCTATCTATCTATCTATCTATCTATCTATCTATCTATCTATCTATCTATCTATCTATCTATCTATCTATCTATCTATCTATCTATCTATCTATCTATCTATCTATCTATCTATCTATCTATCTATCTATCTATCTATCTATCTATCTATCTATCTATCTATCTATCTATCTATCTATCTATCTATCTATCTATCTATCTATCTATCTATCTATCTATCTATCTATCTATCTATCTATCTATCTATCTATCTATCTATCTATCTATCTATCTATCTATCTATCTATCCATCTATCTATCTATCTATCTATCTATCTATCTATCTATCTATCTATCTATCTATCTATCTATCTATCTATCTATCTATCTATCTATCTATCTATCTATCTATCTATCTATCTATCTATCTATCTATCTATCTATCTATCCATCTATCTATCTATCTATCTATCTATCTATCTATCTATCTATCTATCTATCTATCTATCTATCTATCTATCTATCTATCTATCTATCTATCTATCTATCTATCTATCTATCTATCTATCTATCTATCTATCTATCTATCTATCTATCTATCTATCTATCTATCTATCTATCTATCTATCTATCTATCTATCTATCTATCTATCTATCTATCTATCTATCTATCTATCTATCTATCTATCTATCTATCTATCTATCTATCTATCTATCCATCTATCTATCTATCTATCCATCTATCTATCTATCTATCTATCTATCTATCTATCTATCTATCTATCTATCTATCTATCTATCTATCTATCTATCTATCTATCTATCTATCTATCTATCTATCTATCTATCTATCTATCTATCTATCTATCTATCTATCTATCTATCTATCTATCTATCTATCTATCTATCTATCTATCTATCTATCTATCTATCTATCTATCTATCTATCTATCTATCTATCTATCTATCTATCTATCTATCTATCTATCTATCTATCTATCTATCTATCTATCTATCTATCTATCTATCTATCTATATATATATATATATATATATATATATATATATATAACTTTACAATTAAATAGGTAATCAAATGATCCATTGGTAAATGCGTAATAGAAAACGTCATAGAAACAGATGAAACCCGAATCACTCACTTGATGTATAAAGACTCCAAAACCATCCTCGCCACCAATCATTGTGAATGGCAGATCAATGAGAGAATTTATTGTATTACAATTATTGTTCAAGTGTTGTCCATTTGATGACAAAAACCCAGTACCATCATCAACTCCAAACGATTTATTATCTGGATTTGAATGACATGAATTTTTCAACGGAATTATAAGTTCGACTTGACGTGGACGAGCTTTGGTGCTGCAGGCTAAACGAAATAGACGACGCTCACCAGCTGTAATGATAATGAAAACAAAGGAAATTTTTTCTGGAAATAAGTAGAAATTCAGCTGCAATATGAATACGATGGTATTCTACTTTCCAAAAGTTTATCATTGTTCGCACGATTTTTCAGTTAATGTGTTTTTCGATAAAACAATGAGAAGACGGAGTTGATCTGAAAAATGTGATGTATTTGCACTGTACATTTCGAACAATCTGGTCACACATATACTTGTCAAGGCATTTTTATATGAAAATTAATAAAGGTCAATCGAATAAAAGTACAATTAAAATAACAAAGGGGAGAGAAAGAATAAGAAATTGTCGTGTTATCCTAGGCCATAAAATGACTTAAGGATTACCAAGGTAAATTCAAGGTTACGACAAATTGTTTTTGTACACATTACACATTACGCTGCGTTAAAAAAATCTCCAAAGTAGGTCAGATATTGTGATCCTCAGACCTGACAAAGGTTCTGGGGTGGTCATCATCAATAAATGTGAATATAAAGACAAAATGTTATCTATACTGGGTGATCAAAGTAAATTCTTACAGGACGTTTCTTCTAATATTAATGTTAAAAAATTGGAATCCAGAGTGAAGTCCAATCTATTAAAGCTTCTTAAAATGAACATCATAAACAACGAGGAGTTTAATATACTAAAACCTTCGGGTTCAGTTCTCCCGAATTTATATGGATTACCTAAAATTCATAAACCTAATATTCCATTACGACCAATTTTGTCTATGCGTGGTTCCCCCACACACGAGCTAGCTAAATGGTTAGTAAAACTGTTAAACCCAATTCGTACTAATCTATGTAAGTTCTCTTTAAAAGATACATTTGAACTAATTGATTTTCTTGGTGACATTAATATTAAAGATAAATCTTTGCATTCATTTGATGTAAACTCCCTCTTCACGAATGTACCGTTAACAAAGACGGTGGATTTCCTTTGTGACTATATTTAAAAAAACTTTCCTCTTTTTCCTATTCCGTTACCTTTTTTTGAAAGAATTACTTTTATTATGTACAGCTAATGTTCAATTTACGTTTGATGATGAATATTTTCGACAAGTTGATGGTGTAGCTATGGGTAGCCCTTTAGGGCCTCTCTTAGCTGAGGTATTCATGTCATATGTGGAAAATATGACGAGCGACCTCATTGGTGAGACAACTTTATATAGAAGATATATGGATGATATTCTAATTATATGTGATAAGGATTTTGATGTTTACCGATTACTGGATAAACTCAATGATGTTCAAAATGATATTGTGATGACACATGAACCAGAAAGTAATGGCCAATTAGCCTTTCTAGACATACTTTTAAGTCGAAGGGATGATGGCACTATTAGACGGTCCGTGTATAGGAAACCAACTTGGACAGGACTATACTTAAATTTCCATAGTTTCTGTCCATTGCAATACAAGAGAGGTCTAGTTAAGTGCCTCTTTAAGAGGACACGAAGAATATGTACCTCTGATATGGTGGAAAAAGACGAAAAGTTACTGACTGACACTTTAATAGCTAATGGTTATCCACTTAAGTTTATTAATAGGTGCAAAAGTCAGTTAATGCCAAGACCTCTAATTTATTCAGTGCCAAAGAAAAAGGTTTACATCAATCTACCATATAGAGGCGAATCAAACAGTATAGTTTTAAGACAGAGATTGAAAGCAGCCATTGAGAATACGTATTATGCTGCTCAGTTGGTTGTGATTGAAAAGTCTAAGGCCATGATTCCTAATAGACCTAAACAATGCATTAATGATTACGTCACATCCCATTGCATTTACCAATTTACATGTTTGTGTGGACACACATACATAGGGAGGAGTAATCGAACAATGCAATCAAGGGTCAATGAACATGTGCCCAGATGGCTTCAAAATCAGTGTGTGTCAAATGACCCGATCAATGTAGGAGGTAGAAAACCAAATTCATCGATAGCAAAACACATAATTGAGACGGGGCACAAGATTGACATTAATACAGCATTTAGAATGTTGTATAGAAATTGTCAAGGTCGAATTCTTAAGTTTATTGAAGCCTTGGTTATTCGTAAATTTAAACCCCCCTTATGTGCACAAAAACAATTTGTCGTAACCTTGAATTTACCTTGGTAATCCTTAAGTCATTTTATGGCCTAGGATAACACGACAATTTCTTATTCTTTCTCTCCCCTTTGTTATTTTAATTGTACTTTTATTCGATTGACCTTTATTAATTTTCATATAAAAATGCCTTGACAAGTATATGTGTGACCAGATTGTTCGAAATGTATAGTGCAAATACATCACATTTTTCAGATCAACTCCGTCTTCTCATTGTTTTATCGAAATTTATAAAAGGGACTAATTGCTTTAATGTGTTTTTCGAAATCCTACAACCTTGTGTTCTTTTTCTACCCAAAAATAACGATGGGAATAGATCGATGAGGAAGAGTTTTTTTCCCAAATCTGGTTATCTCGTTTGGATTTTTGTTTATACCCATTTCTAAAAAACTACTTAGTTGCAACGAGTTTACAAAGTAAAACAGTATACCTAGTCATACTATTCTGAGCTTGTGTTCTTTCCAAAATTGAAAATTTCATCCGATACAAACACCGTCCATAAATTAAATTGTTTTACGATAAATGGTAGTAAACAAAGTAAGCCAAGCGGTTCTTACTCATATGGAAAAAACCACCATTGAAATAGATTTAATCATTTTGCGTTTATTCAACAGGCTGTCACACAACACTATGATCTGCAAACATCTGAGTGTTACGTCCTTGATCTGTCTACCCACGTTTGGTACTGAAGATACTTTTGTAATCTAGATTAAGACCTTAGTGCCATAGGCTGACCGATATGACCTTGAGGCTAGTACAAGTGAGTTTGAAGCGGGGTAGAGATAAGAAAACTATTCTGTCACCTGATTGGCTGAAAGCACGCGAATGAGGGAAGACAAGACAACTGGAACACTACTCGATCTATTCCCGATATCCTGATTTCAGATTAGGGTTAACATTTTTCTAATGAAAGTTTTTTCCATCCCCATCATCCAATAATTTTTACTCTGTTTCGTTCAATCAAATAGCTAGTTTTAAGTTCGTTATAGTTGGTCGTTTATTTCTTAAAATTGATAATAAAATGTCAGGACTTGACGACAGAGCACATTTTCTTCCAATTATGGACGGTAGTAACGTGCAAAGCGCAAGCTCCGTCGTTTCTCACGTTGTCACAGAAACCGACAACCTATTCTTGAGCACATTGTATCTCGTAGCGTTCCAGTCTCTTGAAGCGTTGAAGAGCGCCATTAAAACTTATGAAAAAGACTTATCGATCGGATCAATGAAGCGCAAACCCGTATGAGCAGCCTAGAATTCTGATTCGCCCTGCTTTCCGCTTAGCCCAGCCAGTCAAGTCCAGAACACAAGTCTCAGCCTCTGCGATATGAATCATTTATTTCAAACATATACGGTTTATACAACAACCAGACAAACCACAACTTACCACAAAATAGAAAATAACATTTGTACAATATTTGGCCAAAAGGAAAATGACACGTGAAATAAAAATTGACGAATAGGAAAATGACACAATTTCACGTTCAAGGATAGCATTAGACTTAACAGGATAATTTTTAGCATATTTTTCTGAATATCCCAACATTATCATACTTCAATGTGATGTATATTTTCTTTAACAAATATGAATCGTACAAGATTAAGCAAAAATATATAACAGCTCAGGTTGACACAGTTCTTATTAGCACAACAAGACGAAGTCAATAGGAAGGCAAACGTGAACAAATAAAAGTACTAAGTCTAACACTTGCAATGAAATAAAGAATGAACAAGTCTGTATTACTGCAACGTATTTTTAATCACATTATTTAAAGTTCCTAAGCTCATACATTTCAACCTACAAGTCCAAAACATCCTATGTGGATGAGACCACTATTCAATAACATCATAAAATGATACTGTCTTGATCATATACCTCTTCTCTCTCATAATCTCTATATTCAATCACTATAAAGTTGAAACGAATTGATATAGAATTTAATTGTTTGACAAAAGTGATTCCATTGCTAAACAGCAGTCAGATCTAATCTGTGTACATCAAGACACTACTGGTTTATTTTTGTAATGATTTTATTCCGTTTTAAGTATTTCATGCACATTACGCATGGTAACGATGTATAATAAAATAGTTCTGTATACAAGTGATGGATCACCATGCAAATTTACATGAATTACGTGAATTCTCTTCTCTAACATAAACATTAGTCGGGTATCTCAATGTACATTACGTAGATAATTAAAGGTGAAAAATTATTTACTCATTAATGATTAATCAAAATACTTTGATACTGGTAAGTCTTGTCGATTGAACGCTATATTTATTTCCTAAGCTATTCCGTTGACCCGCACGCTAGAATTACACAGCGACTTGAACACCAGAGAGAAGCCGCAAGTATGAGAGAAAATTCTTTACTCCAAGGATCATTGTTGTACAGAAAGCATGGGTATTTATAGATGTTGACGTTTGTTAAATCAACATCATATTTCAGCAAATCCGTTAACGACATATTGTGCTACTGACCAATAGTAGCACGCCAAGTTGGAATTCTAGAATGCTCCATCGTGCTCTGATTGGCTAGGACTCCGGCTCCATTGAAGTTCTCCGAAAGCCGACTCAACACCTCCCCCGAATAAGATTTCTTTTTACGATCTACTTGTAGTTTGACAACTGGGTTGCGACGGCGTCCCATTATTCTTGTCGTCTTCTCTGTCCATGGCTTCTTTTCAGTGTTCTTGAGGATTTGTGGCATTGGTGCATCTAAGATTAAATCTAACGGGAAGATCGGCCGGTTACTTCGAGTCTGCATCGTTCTTTTGTCCTTATGGATTTGATTTGCGTGTCGTATACATGTCCCAAAAGCTCCTCGAACTATGTACAGAACTCTTCCCAATTTTTGTACAACTACTCCCGGCTCCCATCGGTTCTTCCCGA